CTCCTTCCATTTCATATCAGTCCTGCCTGCCTGCCTTCCACTGCACATGCTAGACCCTCTGTAAAACACCCTCACCCATCCTTCTCTCTAGAAAAATCCTCCTGTGTAACCATCCACACTCAGCTCCCATATTACCTCTTTTGTGAATCCTTCCCAGGATTCTCCTCTCATTTCCTACAATCCTGTCCTTATACCTCTTAAGTGAATTAATGAATAGCATTGTATTAGGTTTACCATGTGAAATTCTCATCTCATTAGGTCAAACAGCCCAACATCAGCAATTCCATATAGTAAAAATGTGACTTCTTCCTATGATAATGTGCTGTCATCAGCCAAACTGTAGCAGAGGCCCAGGACCACTACCCGCCTTCTTCCCTCAGCATCTGGCCCAGTGCTTGGCATCCAGTGGTTTCCTGATTAAAGCTTGCTGGATGAATGAGCACTGGATGGCAGGTTTTTGTAGGCTGCCTATTTTGCTAGTTGTATACTTCAACACAAATCAAAACTGAATCCAGGACTGTTTGTAAAGTATCTTACAAATTTTCATCCCAGCCAAGCCAGGCTCCAGATGTTTGCTCGTCTGCGCAGGCCAAGCAGAACACGAGGACATCTCGGCACATGCAGGGGGTGGGGACAGTAATGATGCCAAATGACTACCTTTTTGGCTGGAGAAGTAGACTCAACAGTTGATGGAGAGGAAGTAGCAGCTGAATCAGGAGATGGAAGGCAAGAGGGAGAAGACGGAGGATGAGTGTGAGACAGGCCTTTAGAGAGTAGTTTATTCTGCACAGAACAGAGATAGAGGAAACTAGGATTATCCCAGGAGCAGACACAGTGATGCAGCCCTACGCCTCACAGGGGAGAAGACACTGAAGCCTGTGGGTTCAGGACAAAACAGAAGCCTGTCTTTGGAGCCAGGCAGGATTATGTGGCTCCTGGTTACACTGCATCCTACTACCATGGTTCCAGCTCCCTTGTCACACCAAAATAGCTCGAGTACATCCTTCTATTCCTGCCTGCATTCTCTCCAGCTAATTACTGAAGCCCTCACCCCGGAGCTTGGTATGAAGCAATAACCCTGGGCCACTCTGGGGCAGGACAGAGCAGGGGCCTCTGCAGCTGGGGGTAGAAACTGTGCTGGCCTCCTGGAGGCTGCTGGAACCATAAAAATGAACTAAGTGTCAAGCATCCCTCTAAATGTCAATGACTACATCAACAGCAGAGGACACAGGTCTGGAGGAGGCAGAGAAAAAGCAGCAGAGGAGTTATGTTCTAGAGACAGGCTTGCTGCAAGTGGATGACTTCACATGTACACCTACCGTGGGGCCTTATTCTCACTCTTTCAGCTCCCTACGAGCACACCCTCTTCTTTTCTGCAAGTTTCTAAAGCAGTAGCTGGCTTGAAGGGACCTATACTTCCTACACTATGGGAAGATTTTCCTTCTTGGCTTGCTGTTATCCTTTGGAAAAGTGAAGTCCAGGTTATGGTATGGGTTTACCCTTGTTATCTTGTGCCTCCCTTATCAGGACCCAAAAAAACTGCATGAACAATTGGGTTGCTTTCACCTTAAAGGCACTGTGAGTCTTAACAACTGACCAGTGTTTCCTCTTTGTCTTGGCCCTTTGGAAGCTTAGAGTCTACCTAGAAACTATCCAGGGTTTAACAGCCTGGGTTTCTATTGGACTTACTTTCCTGACTTTCCCTTTGTCGTGATGTGTCAAGTTATCTTGAATCTTTGCATTTGGTTCTTTTTAGATGCCACCTCAAACTCTTTAGTGGCTTGAAAAATAAATGGCTCCTCATGTCACTGAAGGAGGAGGAAGAAGGAAACCAAGCTGTAGAAGCTGGTTCATGGCTACCCGGCTGGATGTCCAGCTCCTGGGTTCCTGAGGATTCTGAAGGCCCTGGCTTTACCTGTGGGAAATCCCCGTGTCCAAACATGGAGGCCAGGTGAGCTGCCTTCTCCTTAATGTTCTTTTTGTGAAATTCCCTGTTGGCCAAGTTCTGAGCCCTCTTCTGTAGTCAAAGCAAGAACGGAGAAAGAAAAGAGATGGTGACAGAGACCATGAGGGTCACCTCCAAGAGGAGGCAAGGGAGCAGTTTGGGGCTTGTGTTGCACCCAGCACACAGAAGACAGGAGACAGGGAAGGAGCAGGAGGAGAAGGGATAGGCTGTGGGCAGGATGAGAGAGAGGGAGGAAGCCACTCAGACACAGACACAGGCAGGGAAAGGTGGTCTTTCACCTGGACAATCTTTTCTTCCACCTGCTGTAGCCGCCGCAGCACCCCAGAGAGGGCCAATGTCCCATGGCAGGTGGGAGGCAGGGCAGGAAGGTTTTCTGGCCCACCCAGCTGCAGGTCTGACTTGGCCCTGGCTCTCCAGGGCCTGGTTGGGCACTCACCACCAGCAGATACTTGATTGAGTTCTCTGAGAACCTGTCCCGTCACAACCACAGAAGGGAACTGGGAGAGAGGGAAAATCAAACTTCCTTCCTTCCTGAGACACTTCCATAGACCTCCTGTAAAGACTCTCCGTGTTTCAGGGGCAGAAGGCACAGCAGGTGTCACCTGGAGTAAGACTGCACATTGGCCTCAAGTACTGACCTTTTGCTCTTACATTAGGATCACCTAAACTACACCACCCCAGGTCCCACCCCAGACCCCAACCCAAACCTCACAACCCTGATTCCTATCCTAGCCACACCTGAGATCATCTAGGATCCTTTAAGAAAATACTCAAGTCTGGACCCAAGTCCCAAGGATGCCAATTTAATTGTCTGAGTGTGTATGAGACTGGTATTTAAAAAAATATCCAGTGATTCACGTGCACAGGTGTGTACACAGACACACAATAGCTATGTCAGATGCACAGCTACCTCACTCCACCTGGAAGCAAACACAAAATTTTAATGCTGACCAGATGTCATTGGAATTTGTGGTCACTCATAGTGATTCTGTTAAAATTCAAAACCCAGAGATGGGACCTGGGTAAGCCATAGTCCCTCCATACAAAGCCCCAGCTACTCAGGTACCTGGGAAGGCCTTCACCATGCTGCAGCTTCACCCCTTTCAGTTGGGTGCAGACAGGTGGCCACCTGAACCCATTGCAGTATTGCTTTTTCATTGATTTGAAAATCAGCCTATTCAAGTGGTCAGTCTGCATGTAAAGCTCAGTGTCACAGGGGCATCACCCCAAACACCCCACAATCAGCAGGACAAATTGTTTTCCCCTAAGCAGCAGCACCAAGAGTGTAGTGGCTGGTCAGTAGGTCCCTCTGATGGGCTGAAAGATCATTGGTACGTATTTTAAGTGCTGCACATGTGGCTATGCTTACCTATAAAGGTGGTGACCTCATGCTGTGCATGCTTGCCCAGAGAATCTACAATCAGCCCTATGTGGAGAGTGGAGAAAGCCACTGACCCCTGTCCCTGGGCTCAAAGTCCCCTCTGACTTCACCAAGACAGCATCCACTGGAAGGAGCCCTACCTGCCTTTTCAGAGGTGGTGGTGGGCTGGGACTGGGCTCCTCCACTTTGGGGCAGCGAGAGTTAACAGGACGGTCAGAGGAAGAGCACAGAATGGGCTTACCTATCCCCGAGACATGGTGTTCCTGGGAGAAGAAAGGCCAGTCCGAAAAAGCAGCCGCAGGAGACAGGAAGGAAAAGGTGAGTCAGATGGAGACACTTGGAGGTAGAAGAGGAGTGGTGAGATGCAGTTTTCAAGAACAGAGAGAAAGCTGCCCAAGCTCCTGCAAGCTGGGTCCAGCTGGGAAACTTCAGTTCTGACTCTCCATCCATGTGAAAAGGAGTCCTGGAGTCCTCTCCTTGTGGGCAATGTGTGAATTCCACAGGCCTTGCTGTTGGCTCAGACACAGGGCCTTGGGCCATCACTGCCAGTCCACACCAGGCCAGCATAGCAAGTTCAGGAGTCCTACTGTCCACTCTATCATGGGGATGCTTTGGTACCTTTCATGGAACATAGCCCTGGCCAACAATGGAGGATTGAGGGAGGCCAACCCTCCAGAAGGAGCAATTGAGAAGAATATTTTTCGAGAATTACAGGCCCCAGGAAAATGTGTCCTTGAAACAAAATCACTTCCTGGGGAAGTTTAGTCCAGGAGAAGCATGGGTCACAACAAGACCAACATCTTGTCTCTGATGGCCTCTAAAGCTAACTAGCCAAGAGTCTACCTTCCTAAAAGAATCCTAATTCTGTAATGGGACAGGTGTCCTCCATTGGCAAACAGAACACCCACCTTCCAAGCTTTTATACTGTGGTAACAGCATCCTCAAAGAAATGCAGGGGGACAAACCAAGTCATTTCAACATAGACAATGAACAGGAGTCAACCTGCTCCAGCCTCAGACTGGCCCTGGTCAGATGTAATAGCCCTGCCAGGCTGATGGGGGCATAGGGCGGGGATAGTGCCAGGGAACACTTGGAGGGTTGGCTCTAATCCTTTTGGTAGATCTCTGGGTCAGCTTTCTCTAGCCTGGATGAGTTTTCTCACCATGGACTTGGTCAGTCCTCTCCCATTCAGCCAGCATCTTAAAGCTCCCTAGAGTTCTACTATCTCAAAGTTGGCTATAAACCAAGTCACAGTTTTAAAATAAAGCCAAATTAGGACATGGATTTCTTTACTACAGAATGGACACCAGCAAACTCTGGTCCATATTCTTAATCTTGCCTGGTTGTTTTTTTTAAATAGATATAAATTAAGTTTTATGGTATCATAGTCACTCTCTTTGTTTACCCATCCTCTAACGTGGCTTTCCTGCCACACCAGGAGAGCTGCATCATTGCAACAGGGCAGTATGTCCTTTAAAGTGTAAAACTGGGGTTATGTGGCCTCATGGAAAAGCCTGCTGTCCCCTGACCAAGAAGCTTGAGTCTCAGTTTTCACCAGGTCTGGCTGGCGTACCTCAATTCTAGCCTGATCATTCCTTGCCAGCGGGGTCTGGTCACCAGGAGGAAGGTGAGTGAGCATCTGATACAACTCACCTGCTTCAGGACTGAGGTGTTCCGGGTGCTCTCCTCAAACTTGGCCAGCAGCTGATTTGCCATGGACTTGACTTTGTTCTGATTTCCACCTTCCTTATTGGTGCTGCCCTCTTGATTGGAGACCAAGCTACGGCTGGTGAAGGTTGATGGCTGCAAAGGTCAAAACAGTACATTGGAGGCTGGATTCTGAAGCCCAGGTATCAGAGAGGGGCCAAGGGTCTCAGGCCATGGGACCAGTTTTCTGAAGCAAGACTTTCTCCATGGGCTGAGGAAGTGAGGCAGACCAAGTAGGGCCACCCAACAGAGACAACATTCACAGGGTGAATGTGTCTCCCCAAAGGATGGGCACAGTCAGGCTTGGGAGACAGAGTTAGGCTTCGGATCGTGACGTTTTCATTCCCTGTGATCTTGGCAGTTTACTTCTCTGAAATTTCCTCATCTATAAATTGGGAGGATCAACCTACTCGAAGTGTTTATTGTGCTTTGTTATAGAAGGAAGAATAAAGAAGTGTTGTGTAAATTAGTTTCTAAAACATATCATGTGATTGAAAAGAGGTGAAGAGTTGGGGGATGCTGGTCAGGCAAGGCACAGGCTCTGGGCTTCTTTCTCTTCTCTCCTCAGCACCCCCTTCCAAACTTCAACCAGAACTGCTCAATGTTTGCTGCCTTTTAACACATCTTAATTTAGAAATAATTTTAGATTTATACAAAAGTTGCAAAAACAGCATCCTTCAGATGCCTTAAACATAACCTTGGGAATAATCATGGTAGTGTTATCAAAACTAAGAAATTAACATTGGCTTGATACTGTTCACTGAACTGAAGGCTTTGTTTAGACTGTATCAGTTTTTCCACTAATGCTCTTTTTCTGTTCCAGGCTTCAACCCAAGATCCCACACTGCATTTAGTCATCATGTTTCCTTGACCTCCTTCTAAGCAGTGATAATTTCTGTCTTTCCTTGTCTTCATGACCTGATGTTGAAGGGTACTGGGCAATCATTTCATCAAAAGTATCTTGCAACCTAGGTTGTCTGATGTTTTCTCATGAGTAGCCTGGAGCTATAGGTTCTGGGGAAGGATGCCACAGACATGAAGCACTTTTCTCATTCCATCCTGTTGGGACATACAATTGTAATACAACTTCTAAATGGTAGTATAGGCATTGATTGCTTGGTTTTGCTAGTTTACAAAACAGAGTTCCATGTGAGGTTTCTCTAACTCATCTGCTAACCATAAAAATTTGAAAATGACTGGTGTTTCATAGAAATGTTTGCTCCTCCTTCCAGTAGATCTCCTACATACCTCAAAGCATACCTAGTGGTGCTGTGCCAAGTGGCCAGTCAGCTGTCTCAAGAAGAAAATGAGAGCCAGTGGGGTAGCTCAGTGGGAGAGCACTTGCCTAGCATGTACAAGAAAGGCCCTGGGTTTGATCTCAGCAACACACACACACAAAGACAATGAATTTCCCATGGAAATAGCATTCTCAAAACAACAAAGACATGTTCATTTAGGCAAGCTAGAACCGATTGGTTTTTAAATAAGATCCCTAGGAGGAACAGCCCCGTGGGAAACTATCTGTGTATTACCACTCTGAAGTGCAAAGCAAAGAATTGCTCCCTGCTTCAAAGCATGAAGTGTGACTGTGCACATCAACACAGGCTTGAAGAGAGGAGGGTGTGTTTACTGAGTAATCACTGTTTGTACAAGACCAAAGTCAGCCAACACAGTGTACCACACAGGTCAGTGCTCTCGGATGTCAATGGGCACACGAAAGACCTGGGAACCATCTTCAAAAGCAGATTTGATTTCAGCAGGTCTGCATTTCTAATGAGCTTCCAAGTGATGCTGATGCTGCTGGTTGTTGGAGTAGCAATAACTCAGAAAGAATCATCATTTTGTGTAAGGAGACTTTAAGCAAAACAGCTGCCCCTCAAAACAGCCATCTCAGAAGGGGCAAAAGAAAACAGATTTCTTCCCACTCCAGCTCCTGGGCTGCCAGCAGTAGCAGTAGCAGTAGCAGCAGCAGCACAGATACCCCTCAAGAAGCCAAGGGTGAAAGGCAGGAAGAGACCCCTAACCCAGACTACTTGAACTGGAGGAAACAGGCAGAAGCAAGCTACAAGAAGGGGAAGTAGAGAGCCACCCTGTGACCTGGGGGAAGGGATGTGACTTAGCCCTGCAAAATAGCTCTCCAACACTGAGTTATTTCCTTATTTACTGGCTTCTTATTTACACAACAGCTGAGTGGGGAAACCCAGTTCTTGCTGGGATTGCCTAAAAAACTCTGCAGAAACTATAGACAAGGGTGCTCTGGACTTGGAAGGAAGAATGAGTATATTCACATTTTCAGATGTGAACTGAACTCCAGGCTTCTTTGATCAGAGAGTGGGGTGAGGAGTGGACAGCCACGCTCCCCCAGGGCGGCCTCTCTGCTCCATTGATTACACAGTTCACTGCTGTGAGATGAAGTAGGTCGTAGACATGAACAATAATGTCCTAGAAATACATCAATAAAACCTCTCAACAACACAGAATACAAAAAGCTCTTCTAACATCTATGAAAATCATGTTGTATAAATTAGCCATGTGCCTCTAAGTCATTTTTTGGTATCAGCCAGTAGGCTACACTTCATTGACATGTGTATGATTACTTTTGTAGAATTAGAATGACTTTTTAAATGAAGTGTATATCTCAGGTGTCCTTAAATTGCTACTTGGGGAAGCAGGAGCTGCTTTTTCTTTCAGCTGATTTTTTTCTGAAGTAGGTGAGATCAGAACTTTTCTTTTTTTTTTTTTTTTACAAAGTTGCCAGCAATTTTCTTCCTTCACCAGAAGGTGGCACCTGTGGGCACAGGTTCATTTGCCTTAAAGACTGAAAGAGCAGAAAAGAATACCATGGGAGAAAATGGGGCCTACCAACACTTCTTTTTTGCTTACTATTTGCTGTGATTCAATAATTATTAACATGTATCAGATGCCATATTTGGCATGTTGTATGTATTTTTCTTTTTAAAACAGGGCCTCTCTATGCAGCCCAGACTGACCTTGAACTTGAGATCTTCCTGCCTCCATCTCCTGAGTGCTAGGATTATAGTGTTTGCTACCACACCCAATTTCTGTAACATCTTATTAATCTTTAAAAAACCTTGCAAAGTTTCATACATTTCAAATGTATCATCACATTTTACAGACATGAGCCATGCCCTGGGGAAGTTGTGTTTTTCAAGGTTACATAGCTGGTAAGTAGTGAAGCGAGGATCAGAAACCTGACTATTTTCCCAACAAGCCAATCCTAGCACCCAGTGGTTTGTGACAGAAAGAAGAGCTGTCATGACCAGGCAGGCCTGGATCCACTAGATGTCAGCAGGAAATGGGCCTTTGTTTGGGTGGAACCCTGCACACACACACCTCATCCAAGTTGCTGAAGCCTCTCCGCCTCCGTTTGTTCATGTCGTTCTCTTCAGTTTGGACATCTACCTGCGGTGACCAAGAAAGCATGGTGAACTCAGGACTGTCAAGGGCTTCATTTCCACAAAAATCCCCAAGGCCACAGGGCTGGCCTTGAACTGAAAATGCACAGGGATGCCTTCCTGCCTGTCAATAGCTGCTGGTCTAACGGCAGACACAACAACAAATAACACTGCACCCTGACAAATGCTATCACAGAGTTATTTTTAGACACAGTGGAGGGAGCCTTATTCTACCTAGGGAGCCAAAGGATTGCTCAAAAGGTTTGGGAATTACATCCCAAAGAATCATGGTGAAACATCCCAAAGCAGGCAGAATCCTTGTGACATAAGCAGGGCAGGGATTGTCTCTATTGCAACGTGACCTTGGGCTCTGAGTAGTTTAAGCATATACCCAAGGTCACAGCCAGGTCTGCTGATGCCCTCATTGGAGACCACCTGGGGTCTCTCTGCAACTCGGGAGCCTCTCCTGAAGAGGCAACACTGTCTGGGATCATTGTCTGGACTAGAATGAGCTGTCCAGGGAATTGGTGGCAAATTAAGTCTACAACTCAGCAGCCATCGTATTTAATTAATTTCAAATAAGCCTGGGATACAGCCTGAGGACTAAAGTGGCCATATGGCTAGTTTGCCCTCGACAGTTCTGATTCACTGCCTCCCCACTTCAGCATTAACTATTAACAGTGTCCCATTTTACTATCAAAAATATCCCGGTTTGCACAACCGGGTTTCTCTAATGATGACCTCCTTGTTGCCCACTGTCTGTTGCCTGAATGAGGACATTTAAAACTGGAAAACCCTGCTCAACCTAAGCCCCTTGTATCACACCTGAAGCGCTTTGAAAGGTATATCACTGTCAGGCTATCTCTTGAGGAAATAAGGCTGGGGTGGGGGTGGAGATTCAATTCAGTACTGCCTTTGTATCCTGCTGGACAAGCCCATCCTTGACATGGGCCAAGCTCCATCATCCACTTTTGAGGCTAGTCCTCTCAACTACCAGCCTCCAGTTTCCGGGCCTTTCTCCCAACAGCTAACTCCCTCTGGGCTACGGAGCCATGCCCCATGGACCATGTACGCCCAACACTTGGAGGCCTTCATGGCAGGACAAGATCACATCCCAGCCTTTCCTCCACTGTGGATTAGGAAGAGGCTGCAGACCACCCACTCACCACAAAACCAGGCATGCAGCCCAGCCAGCCACATACATCCTTGTTCTGCCCAACCACAGGAGAATCCTTTTAGTTACGGCTGTTGTAAAATAGCAAGAACTCTGAGCACCCCAGCACCCATGTGCCTTTGGAAAACACTCCTCATCACCCCCAGCCCCTCCCCACATTCAACAGCATCATTTTTTTTTTCTGAAGAAAAGATCAACCACAGTTTAGTCATTGATATTTGTTCAAAAATTTGACCCAGGCAGCATAAAACAACAGATCAAAGGGCCCTGCCTTCCCTTCAACATTTCCCTCAGCTTCTCATAAATCATTATTTTTGTGAATGGAAATAATTTCAGCCCAAATGGTTGGGCAAACACCAAGAGCAACAGATGACCTTATTTTCAATGATGTTGGGTCTTAGAGGCATAGGCTGTCTGGGGCCCCAGCTCGACAGCTCATGAATGCCACTCTGGGCCCAAAACTGGAACTGTGAGAAGTACAGAATGTTCTACCAACAAGAATGCTTCGTGCATAATCTCAGAGTTTTCTGTTGTTTTTTATTTCCATCTTAAATGAGGACTTGGCTCTTCCCTCAAAAAGCAACACATTCTACTCTCTCTTTCACACTCAACAGTCCAGGGAGGTACTGTTTAAACCATCAGTGCCTGTATAGACTTTGCCAGCCATGTTACCCGCAGGCTCACAGAAGGCAGCCAGGGAGAGTGGACCCAGCCAGCAGCTCCTAAGAAGACTCCAAATCCTTCAGGGGGAATAAAGTGATACATCCACCTTGACCCTGGGACACTAAAATGCAGTCTACTTGGAAAGGTTAGCAATGCATGTACTTTTCCTTTTGGGTTTATTATTGAAGCAACGAGTCTCAACTAAGATCTAGGTTAAAACAAAAAGATGAAGAAAATTCAAACCTATAGGCTTATCTAATTTTTTCTTATCTGCATATTTAATTTGGAATTCAAAATTGACCCAGGATCACCATCTGCTTGGACCTTATTACACTCTACAAAGAACTAGAAGTACAGAAGAAAGCAAGCACTTCTTATGCCAAGAGACAGCACGAGAATAAACATAATTTAAATTTACTTTCCTGCAAGTTTTTCAGCTTTTACACCCTCAGAACATTTTCTTATCATGATTCCCCAAGGATTTGAAAGAGTCCATGTGCCAAAAGGCATTTATTAAACTGGTTGTTTTCCCCCTTTAAAAAAAAAATTCAAAGATATAACATCTGCCAATCTGATTGCTAATTTGATTTGCATAAGATAACCATGTTCCCATACTTCCTGAGTTAATGTGATTTGGGCTCAAAGCAAACAACCTTTATATTTAGTTAGCTGGGACAACCTAACCCTGGAGAAATTTAGACCTGGGTCATTGGAAGAGACAGGCCACTGGTTGATCTGGCTGGCAGTTATGATAGGACCACTCATGAGAGTTGTATGTGTGAACTCCACTCTGCTAGGGACCAAAGCTGGAGAAGGACCTGGCTGAACAGGTCTAGAAACCCACCTGGTTTCTGGGATGGCCTTTCCAGGGAAGGTGGCAACTTATATGTAAGGAGTGGGCTTGGAATGGGACAAAACTCAGGTACTCTGACTATGCATAAAATATAACATGTGCAATGAATATTCTGTCATAAATACAGGCATCACCCATGTATGGAAGGTCTCGGAGAGTACAGGCAGGTAGACTGAGTGTGAGCATGTGCGTGTATGTGTGAACACGGGAATGACTAAGGCTGAGGAGATATGTTTAGGTGTCACCTGTTTACACAGTGACAAGAGCTGTGGAGCCCCTGAGGAACTGTACCATGCTAAGAATGGTACATGCTTTAGATGCTGACAAGGATCACAGGCAGACTTGCAGAGCCAGAACAAGGGTTTTTAAAGAGGAAAATATAACCCCCAAGCTTGGCTCCTTTTCCCAGGCATAGGCCACCCAGTCTTCAGAGCTGATCAACCCAGTGGGTTACACAGTGGGATGGGGAAGTAAGTCTCTCTGAAAATAAGCAAGATCCCTAGTAGAGAGAATGTCTTATTTTGCTTGGAGTTGACAAGCCTTGCTGGAATTTGGATGTTATCAGGAAGACTGGAGAAGAGAGAAAAACCGAATGATGACAGAGAAACCTGGAAGGAAAAAGATTCTTATGACTAGCTCAGCAGGAAACAGTGAATCCTTTGAGAATAAAGAAGTCACACTGTGGATGAACGTGCACACGTCCCATGTTAGGACACTCTTCTGGAGGCTGTGGAGGGGAGCAGGGAGGGAGGCTGAATGCAGATGCACTTATACCATGGGATGGGGGTGGGCCATGGTATATATGATAGATATGGCATATGGTGTTGCGCAGACCTGGCCTAGCCTGTGTCTCTATGCCATTGGCACACATAAGCTTGGCACTGAGGGTTACATGTCTAACGGTACCCCCATCTGCTTGGTGTAACAGCAGTGGAGCCGCTATGTACAGAGAGAAGATGTATAGTTTTCAGAGTCTAGTGCACAGACATAGCTCTGTGACCGTGAAGGATTGGAATGGGGTAGATCAAAGAGCATTGCAAGGAGGCATCTAACCAAGAAGGACCCAAGTAAAGGCATGGCAGAACAGGGAGAAGCTGTGATGAACAAAGCAGAGGATGATCAAGCAGGTTTACTACCTCATCGGCTCAGACCATTGGTTTGAGGAGAGAAAGAGGATAAATAAGGCCCATACTGGCACTTACTTGAATGACCAAATCTCTACCTATCCAATGACTGCAGCAAATTCCAGGCATCAAATGGGGCTGTGAAAAGGACCTGTGGTCTTGACTTCTCTCAAGATGGGCAGCCAAAGGACACACCCTGTGGGAGGCTGGACACAGTTTACAACGGGCCAGGGCTGGGCTGGGCAGAGCCCTCAGCTAACAAGTACTTCCCAAATGGGGTGAGGCCCCAGTGCCCTGGCTGGCCTCCCTGACTCCAGCCTTTTGGCCACTCCCACTTCTTGAGCCAGCTTTGGCCACTGTTTAATTGGGTTACTCTGCAAACAAAGGTGTGAGGGAAAGGGTGCTACATCCTTCTGCAGTTCCCTGTGTGGGGCCTAAGTGGTGGGAGAAACCTGGTGAGTGGAGGAAGGAGGTAAGTTTGGTGCTAGGAGCTTTCAGGAAGTTCACACTGGCTTGCTAGAGATGGAGCAGCCTAAAGCATGGAACCCTGGCTTCTGGGGAAAACTGGCTAGGTTAGGAGTGAGACAAGCCAGCAGTTAGTCTCCTGAAGACAGCACAGGCTCAGTGGCATGGTGGGCCACCAGCCCTCACAGAGCCTCTGAGACCAGTCATCCCGGCAGCAAAGGGAGAGAGCACCTGGTACAGCCCATCATTTCAGAGCTCTGCTGAAAAGCTCAGAGACCTCCATGTCCCTTCAGCAGCCCTGGCCTGGCTGGCCAGTCCCTTCCCACAGCTAGGGAGGGGCAGAGGAATGAAGTATTCTGCTCCCAGAGTTGGGCAAACAGCTGCTACAGCATTCCAGAGAGCAGGGAGTGCAGACCTCTGTGGAAAAAGTGACCACTGCTCACATGGTGACTGGAGGAGAGAATAGAGGCAGGGTAGCCCCACTGCATGCTGGGATGAGGGGCTAGCAGGACTGACCTGGAAAGGCAGAGACACGCTGAGTGAGACCTGCAGCCCTTTGGAGCAGGGGCTCCGGATTGATTCATACAACTGCCCTGCCCCTAGCTGCCCCTGTTCCAGCCAATGGCCTTGTTCTGGTACCATCCTGTGATTCCTCTTCCCTCCTCTGTTCCCACAGCCATCCCATAACCCCCAACTCCAGCCCTAGTCCTCTGCCCAAACACTTCCAAATCCCATAGTTGTTTTCAGTTCTCACCCTGCCTGCTTCCCTGGTGCCTGACACTGTCCCCTGACCAATCCTATACACACACTCTCCTTCCTGGGCTTTCTGACTTCCTTTCTGACATTGTGATAGTCCCTTCTTCATCTTCATCCTTGGCTGTGCTGGCTTGTCAGCCCCTAAATTCTCTTGTTCACCAGAGTTTTGGGCTTGGTTTTGGTTTTCTTCTTGACTTGCCATATCTTATTTTCTCAGCTAGATTCTTAAGGTCAAGGCTCACATCACTTTTGTGTGTCCTGTCACTGAATACATGATAAAAGCTTTTTAGTGAACAAACTAATAGCGGTAAAGGATGTGTGGCATTGTGGGCAACGAAGTACAATCAAGTACTGTGTGACTATGGGCAAGTCACCCAGCCTCTCTGGGCTCCCACTTGTATCTGCAAAATGAGCATATTAAGCAAGAAACTTGTATATCTTCCATTTAGATGCTATCCTTCAAATAAAACTGCAATTTCTCATTAGGCCTATGGTTCTCAAACTGTACCAAAGTATCCCATGACACCACAGTGAACTCACAGAAGAGCTCCAGCATATTTTAAAACTTCCAGAGAAGTATTCTGATTAAGCTATTTGGACTTACCAACTTAATAAACTGTTAGGCACTTCTTTTAAGATCACTGTGAAAAAAGTGACACAGATACCAAGGGTGCAATAAATCAAGACTAGGCTTGATTATTCACTTTTGCATATTTGTTCCCCTCATGAAAAACAAGCAGGAGCTATAGCCTTAAAGTTGGTAAATAGGGCCCCAAAACATTTACTGAATGAATGAAAGGTAAAATCAATGGTACTGATGTATAAACGTGGCACGTCACCATATACTGCTGCCATGCAACTAACGGCCATCCTGTCACTGACCTGAACTGCTCAACAAAGTGAGAAATCTCTCTCCCATCCCTCAGAAGGTAGAGCTTATTTCACCAAGGGGTGAGACACGCCCACAGCATGTCCTCTGCACTCTCCACCATCCCCTTCCTATAACTGCTTTTACGTCATTGAAACTAGCTGCATGGTGCCAGGGAGAACTTCCCAAAACTCAGTTACTACGTGACTTTTATGAACATGGCCTATGAGCACTCAATCTGTGTACTTTATTAGCATAAACAGACAGAGGGGGTGAAATTCTCCTTCCTCTTACCCCATCCACATGCAATGAGGAAAACAAAAACAAGGCTGAAACTTACTCGTGGAGTCCTCTTTCTTGGGAACGTAAGGTTGAGATAGTTATTGGAAATGGATGATTTGGCCAAGTTGAGGTCAGCATTTTCTCCATAGTTTTTGCGCCAAGAATCTGTTGGAAGATTAAAGCACAGTTGAGATTTGGCTCCTGGGTCCACAAAGAGTTGTAACTGGGAGGTGTTGCTGTAGTCCATCTAGAATAATTCTCTCATGCCAGATTAAAGCTGAAAATGCCTGAGCAGGGGTACTGCTGGGGCTCTAATAACATGGTACCTCCCATCCAGACCCATGGCCACAACCTGGGTCCACTAGGGGCCACTCCCATTTGGCCTCAAAGTCAAGGAGAAGGTGCCAGGCAGCTCCAGAGAAGATGACATCTGTGTTAGGAGCAGCCAGACTTGGGCTGGAGGAGAGAGGGCCCAGAAGGCCTGGCAAATCCTCTTTCAGGTGCTTACCCACAGGTCTCAGCGGAGCACCCCGGAAGAGCTCATAGAACTTGGAGAGGTACATGACCATGCTGAGCTTGTCAGGCTCCTGGGCTGATGCCATCTCTTTGCCTGTGGTCACTGGAGGGATCCCAAATTCACGCTCAGCCACATCAAATGCCAACTGGTTGTTCTCCACAGCATCATCTTCATTCAAAGAGTCAAAGTTGCTGGAGAGTCAAAAGTAGGTAGAGAGCTTCAGGGAGAGGCCAGACAAGCTGTGCACACTTCACAGGGAGTACCCTGAGTTGACTCTCTGCCATGTGTCAGTGACCCTCACCCCTGCCTCTGTCACTCCAGAAGAAGCTAACCCTACCCTTCCCAGTCAGGGAGGGACCATGATGATGTCATTGAATTTAGGCTGAAACCATCAGAAAATGAGTTAAACCTTTTTGGAAAATTTAGGAACTACTTTACTTTTAATTATTGCCTTTATGTTTTTTTCTTTTTAATTATAATGATAATATGGTCTTCTCCCCCAAACAATCAAGTTGTATGTGCCATATAGAGATGAGATTCTTTCATGGCAATCTCACTTCCTGAAGGTACAACTAATGACCACCTATGATTGGTTTCCATCAGCCTTTTTTGAAGGATTTGCACATTGGTGTGAGGCAAGGCTACTGTCAATGTCAATGTGAATGTTTCATGCTTTGGGCATTACCAAGTGTTTCCCCATGTAATCTGATCTTCCCAACGACCCCGACATTATTCTCAGTGTGTAGACATTGACACAGACATAAAATCTAAAGCTGATAGAAGAGAAGCTGCTATCCAATGGCAGTCAGCTAGTGGATCTGGGTGTTGAACATACTTCTTTTGGCTGGAAATCTCTCATGCTGTTCCCCAGAGCTAGGTCTCACCCTTATTTCCTTTCCTGAGGGTAGGGCTGCAAGGTGGGAGTGCTCAAATTTCAAAAGCATGGTGACTGGGATGGAGGCTGGGACACGAGAATGCAACCACTGAGTCTGAGCCAATTTTGACCCTTTTGCATTAGGAAAGAGGCTATACAACCAGCCCTACATAACACTCATATGTTAGGAACAAAGTACAAACACACTGCTGTCAATGCAAAACGAAAAGAGCAAATTTCAAACAAAACTCAAATGGAAACATGCAGAGAGAGCCAATAGGGAGTCTGCATCCTCCAGGGACTTAGTGTCCCTTGTCTCCAGGGTCCAGCCTGGGACCCAGACTCACATTAGCTCTGGCCGGAAACGATGGATGATGGCACACAGGGCCAGACCACTGCGCCAGGATGTGGTCAGGTCGGTGATATTGACATGCTGGTAACCCTCAGTCTGCTGCTGGCACCAGGTTAAGAGCTTGCTGGGTCGGATGTCTGACTCTGCAGAGAGGAAGTCCAGGCAGTGAGGCTCTGGGGGACTCTTATCAAAGCTATCCCTTCCCACTGCTACCAGGTCTGGGGATGGAGAGGAATGGAAGCAAGGCAAGGGACCAGGGCATGAATACAGTCTCCTGAGGGCTGCTGCCTGGGGACCTAGGCAAGAGTGCAGCTCAGGGCAGGACACTGGCTCTTGAAGTGTCTAGGAATCCATCAGGGACAAAAGCAGGTTTTCCAGGAAAACAGGACAGAGTAGTGGCAAAGAATGAGGAAACCCTTGCCATGTTGTGTAATAGTGAAATGGTTTATTACAGTAAATAGTGTATTACAGAAGGGAGACACGTGACATGTGGAGGGAAGGGAGGAGGGCCAGGTTTGCCTAACAAAGGGAAGACAGCAAAGTCTGGAAAGGCAGAGGTAGCCAGAGCATCTCCAGGCAGGAGACGAGCCTGAGTGAAGCAGCTGGAGTCTGGGGAGTTCCTCATTGATTCATTCCCTCCCCTGCCATAGAGCTCTGTCCCTGTACAGTTCAGTGCCAGGCTCACAAAGATCAGGGGAAGGGTGAAGTTCTCAGAGCTTGTCATCCATTTGGGGAGACAAGACCTCCATACTGGAAACAAGGGGGAAATAAAAAGCATTTCCACAGATCACTTTGCTGTGCTAATAAGTGCTCCAGATGTATTAACTTGAGTCCCCACTTGATCCTGTGGGTAGGTGTGATCCTGCCCTTGGTTTTACAAATGAGGAAGCTGAAGTTCAAGAGGAAAGGCACCAGCCCAATGTCATTCAGGGATGGGAGCAGAGCAGGCTGGCTGCAGAACCTATGTTGCCACAGCCACCAAGCAGACCTCTTCCCCTCAAAGCCCACTGCAGCAACCTGGCCAGGAGCCCCACGAGGGCTGCTTACCCCGCCTAGAGAGGCTGGCAGATCTCCTCACTGAGCCCAGTCTCTCCGGAGGGTAACGGTCCAGCTCCTTAGTGATGTACAAATGCTTCACCTATGAGTAAGAGAGATGGCAAGCCTGCCCACCAGATTCCCAGGATCCTGGCCTTGGGGCTTCTTAACTCAACCTAGGCCCACTGCCTGCCACTGCTTTTCACCACTGCTGGATGGCCCGACCTTCAACAAAGAAACCCAGGCAAATCTCACTCACAGAGGATGGACCTCAATTGTCCACCCAAATGTTGGGAAACTAAGAGTGAATGGATCTAATTGGCTACTTTTTAAATTTCATACCATTCTCTGTTCTGTTGGCTAAAGAGGTGGGGGATTAGGTGGCTCTGAACCAATGGGAGAAACACTGGAGTCCTGGGCTATGGACAGGTGATAAGGAAGAGAGAAGATTTGGCTAAACAGATTGAGAGAAGTATGATCAGCACTGCATATGTATAATGTCAAACTAACATGTGTAAATATATGCACATATGCAAATATGAACACCCCCCCCATACCCTCTCACCCAATATGTGTTCTAGTTCCTTCTTGTAGACTAGAAAGAATTGTACTTCTGTGTCCCCTAGGGAGAAGAATTGGTCCCACCTTCAGGCTAACAGGTATTGTTGGCCTCAGTCCCAAGAATGGGCCAAGATTTTATAAGAAACACCCCTCCCCCCAACATACACACACTCAGTGCAGGGACCCAGGCAGACTCAGGAATGGATTTACCTGGTGGGGTCTAACACAGTGTGAGTTGAGGTTTGGGTATCGTGTCCCTGGGTCCAGCGTGTACTGCTCAAAGTTCTTGTTGATGTTCTCTGGAGTTGTTTGAGGTAACAGCCGGTAAAGACTTTCTCTGGAGGGAGGCAGAGGATTGCTCTTGTCATTCAAGCCTTTGTCCCCATCCTCGGAAGGCAGGGACGCAAGGGTCCAGCTAGAACTGCCACTCAGCCTCTTGCGGCCTGCTCCCAGTGGCCACAGGCCTCCACATCTAAACCATCAGCACCGTGTCTCTCAGCCAGCCCTGACCCTCCCAGTCTGCCAGCTGTCATGGCCACGTGGCCAGCAGCAGGGGTCTGGGAGGAAGGCCAGAATCTCATCTGTGGGAAAGACTAGAAGTCAGAGAACCCCACACCGAGTGCTGTCCTCAAAGACTCCTTTAAATCAACTTCAACGGGTTTCGGGAAGATGTGCAGTGTTGGGGAGGTCAACTGCAGGGCTACCCTAGGTGAAGAGTTATCTTTGGCATTCCAGGCCTAAGACATGGCCACCAGAGAAAGTCTCTGAAGGAGGTGGATCATGATGGAGAGAGTGTCCTTGGGAATCCTGACATCAAAGCAGGCCACATATGAGAAGGCAGGGGAGTATGAGACAGAGGCTCTAGATGCAGCAGGCTTTCCCCAACTCCTGCCCAATCCTTTGACCCACCCCATGTCACTCCAGCTAGCTCTGCTGTCAAAACTGACCTTTCAGCCAGCAGCTCCAGGGGTGGGGTCCCCTGGTCCCAGCTCTTTACCATCCACGCTGTGTCAAAGGCCGCCAGAAATCCACGAGCACATCCTGTGCCCATAGGCCAAAACGGCTACAAAAGAATACACGCACAATTCTCATTTGTCCAACTCACTCCCAGCCTGCTCCCCAATTCCACCCAGCACTCTCCGATTACCAGCCCCAAGCAAGGCAATGGCCAATGGCAAGCAAGGCAATGTCAGGACAGAGAGGTGACAGGGCAGGCACCCTGCTTCCCACACTTCACCACAATCACCAGCAGCGAGCACAACGTCAAATGCAATGAATGGTGTGGCAACACACAGAAAAACTACTTGAAGGCTCTGAGAGAGTGGAGGTATGGGAACCAGAGAATGCTTTACAAAAGAGTTGCATTTCTACTGATGTTAAAGAATGGATAGGATTCTGGTCTCCATCCATTCTGGAATAGTGTGGGCAAAAGCTCAGCGGCTGAGAAATGCCAGAGCTTGGTGGAAGAAGAACCCTTTTGTCTGGGTGTGGCACTGAGCACAGGAGGAACAGGGAAGAGGAAGTCTGGAGAGGGAGGCTGGGATTGAGGCAGGGTGGGTGCCCAGTGCTCCACAAAGAGCCAGGTGAGAGTCCACACACATAGGGAGCCAGGACCCATTAGGCCAAGCTGAGTCTAACCAGCTTGCACCCAAAGCAAGGTTTAGAATTTGACACTTAATCTGGGAATAAATACATAAAAATTGTTTGGTCAGTGCTTACATTAAAATTAAATGTCCCTTTGGAATGAAACAGTCATTTAATTGAAGTCCTTGTGATTGCAGATTTGAGTGCAGTGGCCATTCCACCCCTATCCCCACCTCTCCTGCACCCTATTAGGTCTCCACACTAAGAGACCAAAAGGGCCACCCATGTGGGGGAAACAGTCCCGGCACAGATTAGGGTCTACATCTGGTTCTGATAAGGATGACCCTGGGGTCCATACCAGGGCTGCCTAATTTTGTACTTCAACAAAGATGTCAGCCCAGAAGAAGCCAGAGGTGGGAGAGAAAGCTCTCCCACCTGTGGTAGGCAGGCAGTTTTTTTAGAATTCATCCAAAAGTGGCCTTGGTGGAGGCCTGCCCACTGGCTGAGCACCTGCCCTTTCTCAGGACGTCTGAGCAGATGCTACCAGTCAGAGCAGAAATGCAAGGATCTGTCTTGTAGCAGGAATGAGGAGCTCGACATGCAGGTGATACCTCGAGCAAGCTGTCACCCACGAGAGCCACGAGTAGCTGGTGTGTCTGGCGCTCGCGCACCAGGGCTGCGTTCTCTGAGGCATACATGGAAGTAAAGTCAAACATAGCCACGTCGGGCTGCTCGTAGTGGTTCATGGCAAAGTCTAAGGATGGCAACTGGTAATTGGTGGCAAAGTCTGCAGCTTCCCGGGCATAGGAGAGTAGGTTGTCCTGGTTCACGTTCTCTGCACACAGCAGCATCTCTGTATCGATGTAGTCCTGGAGGAGATCAAAACACAGTGAAGAAACCTCTCCTCTAAAGGGTGAGGATTCACACCCATGTTAGGCAAAAGGACTTGGAATGAGTCTATACAGTAAGGTAAAAAAAAAAAAGGAAAATCAGAAACGAGGGAATAAAGAGGAGGAAAATCAGCTAGCTGTGAGGGTTAACAGAATTGTGATTAAGTGCCAAATTTGGCTTTGAGCTTCCTGGCATCCAAGGTAAAAGGGAAATGAGATATGTTACAAGGCTTTCTTTATCAGAAAGAAGGAAACATAGCAATTCCTCAGGGGAGGCAATTTTTTCCTGGCACTAAATTCTAAAAGATCTATCTCACAGGAATTTCGACAGAGAACATCGAGAGTTGTAATGAACAGCGTGCTTGATAATGGTCTTGGAGCAGATTTCACATGGCTGGTTCTTGTGATAACTTTCAGTACAATTACAAGACAAAGGAACAAGTCAGTAAGTGTGACAATAATGGATTGAGCTGAGCTAAGCTAAGCTCAAGTGGCCTAGATACATTATGTTTAGCAGTCAAACAAGACTAGTGAAAAAAATGAATGCTCAACATAACTCTTGAACTTTCTCTCTAGACTGAGTGCCTCCTTTTCCTAAGAGGCTGGGGGCTGCTCACAGCTTGGCTTTGCTCTTAGACTGCTCATTGTTCTATTTCCCTGCTAGGGCATAGAGAACCCTGTACTTAGAGGACTAGGAAATCCATCCTGACATCGGATGCTCACAGATTTTGGGGGGCAGAGGATGCAATGGATCAAATTGCATGTCAGCTGATTGCTAGCTATAAATTTGGGCAAATTATTTCACTCAGTTGAGTCTCTGTTTTCTCACTTGTAAAATGGGAATAACAAAATCAACTTCTTAGAGCTAGGTGAGGACCAAGAGAGACTGTGTACATGAAATTCCTAGCCCCATGTCTGGCACATGGAAGGTCCTCACTGACCCATGGTGACACATGGTAGCGTGCCACCCAGACCCATCCAAGGTATCAGCAAGAACATTTGCACAGGTCTTCAGAGGCACAAACTCCTCTATACCTAGAGTGGTTTCCTGTCTCCATCTTCTGAAGAGTCATGATTTCAAGTACCTTGTTTGGAAAATTCTAGTATTTCCTCACCTAAACCACACTTCCGGCAAATTGCACCCAGTATTGGAACAAGAGCACAGTGTCAACACGGGATCTCCAAATTCAGAATATAATACATATGTACATGGAAATGTCATAATGAAACTTCCTGTGCAGATATCTTAAACAAACAAAAATGTGTTTTTTCAAAGATGGAGGCAGGAAGGTAAAACAGGTCCTGTCTGGGGGTTGGTACCAGTGGGAGGGGGGAGGATATAAGGAAAGGATGAAGGAGGGTGGATATGGTGGATATATTATATATTCATGTATGAAAATGGAAAAATGAGATGTTGAAACTGTTCTAAGAATGGGGTGACAAAGGAGAATGATGGAGCCATGAATTTAACTAAGATATATTGTAAACACTTTTGTAAATGTCACAGTGCTTCCCCAGTACAACAATAAAACGATTTAAAAAGAAATAACTGGAGTTTCCTTTCCGGTATCTGCTCATAGAGTCACATGATCCTGCCTTGAAGGTATGGGGACGAGCTGGGGGACGAGCAACTGGAGCAGTCTTACATACTCCCCACCAACTCTCCCACCTGCTCACCTGCTCACCTAACCAAGGTAGACCAGGTACGTGAGAGAGGAATGAAGACACCAGATGATCAAGACATTGCCTGTGAAGCAGGGGTTTGGAGACCTGGTACAGGCTGGACCTAGAGAAAGTCCACCTGACTAGGGCTGCCATGGGGGTCCAAGATGAATGGGTGATGGTAGAAGGAGCAGAATGATTGAGAAGAGGAGAGAATAAAGACGACGCACTCCTCTGAGGGAGAAGGAAAGGCCTCTCATCCACTTGCACCACAATCAAAGCCTGAGATGTGAATGTGGGGTGCTTTGATGACCACCAAGGAATCAAGTGGCTATAAGCAACATGTCATTGCTTGGAGAAATGCCATAAACTGAAGGTGACCTTAGCATCCCAGGACCCTAGTGTGTTCAGCTACTGAACCACAAAGCCCTAGTCCCACTTTGCCTGGCTGGTCAGGCCCTCTTCAGCAAAGGTGCCCACTGTACCTGCTTCCCTGTACTGGGAATGGTGTCGCACCATCCCTGCAGACAGAGGAGGCTGCCTCAGGAGGGATGCCCATACAGCAGATGGAACTCAGGGATGCCACCTCCTCAGGGTGACCAGTCAGCAGTGGGCAGCAGGCATGGAAGCCCAGCGCCCACATTTCTGCTGCTGTGCTCAGCTGGCTTCACCTCACCCCCATCCACAGCCTCTGCCCATGACTCCGGCTATCAGCAAATGCCTGAGCAATGTGGAGGAGGCCCAGGGGAGGGCTGGGTTACTAATAGCATCTGCTGGCTGCCAGCACAAGCTGGCAAAAAAGCTAGATACATTCTTCTCTAACAAGCAGCAATGAATGGTCACGCACTGCCTGGGCCTCAGGCTGGCACCTAGACAGCAGGCTGACCTGGGGCTGCATGATCTTTATCTTGAGCCTGCAGCAGCAGAGGCAAAAACAGAGACTCTGGAAGGGTGAGACCTGACCCAAGAAGCTGCAACCTAGGGACCACCCTTCCATGGACTGCTTCCTTCCAACCCTGATCTCCACTTATACTTGAAGATGAAAAGCCATAAAGCAGCAGCCAGGAGGCCAGCAGGACAAAAGAGCAGATGTCCAAACAAGGCTAAGAAGTTACAGAGGGAGTCTATAAACCCATCCATCACATGCCAGGCACTGCACTAGGTTACTAGGGGTGTGTGTGTGTGTTGTGTGTTTGTGCATATGCAGATATTTGCTCCTCAAGAAGGCTTTCAGACAGAAATTATTATTCCTATTTTATAGATGTGAAAACTGAGGTTTAGAAAAAATAAGCAGCTTGCTGGTGATCCTGAGTCAGTATGTGCAGACCCAAGGTTCAGCTCATCTTTCAGATGTATGAATAATGAACTTTCCCCTGTAACAAGGGCATACACTGTGAAATTCTTAAGTGAAAGTGTCTCTATGACACCTTCCAGGACGAGGAGTTTCTATCTGTCTCCAAGTGACATGTGACCTCCCAGGTAGGGGCAGGGCTGAGTGAGACCTGAGGGAGGCAAGACTGAGTTGACCCACATTCACACCTGGGTAAAGGTCTCACACCACCACACACTTCTGATGGAGTATCTCTACCTGTGTGGACTTGTTTATCCAGCACTCATGCAATGCCAAGGGCAAGGCAGACAGTAAGTGGGTAGTTCCTCCCCCCTCCTCCATTGCTCAGTTTCAGACAGGATAATAGCCCAGGTCACAAAGGGAAAGACAGGTGACAAATCACAGGCAAGAGGTACGCACATTAATGATGACACCTTTGTCGAGCAGGCTCTGCTTCTTGGCAGTCATGACAAAGTAGTGGGTACAGTCCTTGTAGTAAACAATGTTCTCAAGATCGATTCCTGAAAAGAAAAGTATTCAGATTATGGCTTACTTCCTCAGTGCTCAATGCATGCCAGGAACTGTACCTTGCCTCATCATAGGTCTCATTTTTAAGACAGATAAGACTGGGAAAGATAAAGCAGAGGCTCAGGCTGGAGGCATGGCTTAAGCAATAAAGCACCTGCCCAGCAAAGGCCTGAGTTCAAACCCCAGTACCACCAAATACAAATACAAAACAAACAAGCCAAGAAACAGAGGACTAGAAGTTACCCAGGTAACTAGCTTTTATAGTCTCACAAAAGGGGAGTGTGTGTCTTTTAAAACTCACAATGTTCACAGGGGTTGTGGACCAGTTTTTCTAAGTCCAAGCTGGGTAAGAATTGTTGCAAAAAGTGTCCATGTCCAAGTGTTAGACATGGCCTTAGCTAGAAGCTAAGCAATGACATAGCCAGAATATGAACCCAACCCTATATGGCTCCAAGTTGCATCCATTGTAAACTCCACGTGGCCAGAGATGTACAAAGTGCAGGAATTCTTCAAAGACTGTTTCTATCATTCCCTCACCTTGCATGTGAAAACACAGGTGCACTGGTAGAAACAACTGAGGTTAGAAGACTAGATTGTTGATTCTCTTGCCTTAACCTCCCAACGCTGGGATTACAGGCATGTACCACTTTGTGCAGCCAGCTACAAATCATTTCACACACTAGATTTCTGCATGCAAAACCATACTGTGAGATGAGAGCTTGGCTCCATGTTCTGAAGGTGGAGGGGGCTGACTAGCATCACCCACTTAGAGAAAAGCAAATAATCAGGGCTTCACCCAAGACCTGCTGAATCAGGAACTCTGGGGTTAGGACCAGCACCCTATGATTTAACAAGCTCTCTGGGGGTTCTGATGCACATTTGAGTTCCAAAGTGGTTTATTTGAAGGGAGAGAAGGAACACACATGGTGACCCATCAGCATCCTACAAAGAGTGTGCTGAGTAGCCATAACAACACCTTTATTACAGTTAAATAGGAAACAGCCATCAATGAAGAGGGCCCCCAAGAGAATCAGAGGAAATTCATTGCTGCCATCGTGTGAGGGAACTATTGTGAAACAATGACCAAAGGTGACAACCACAGCCAAGTCTAAAGGAAGCTCATTGAAATATTTGGAAAAACATGCTCAATGTCCTGCTATAATTTATATTTGGTTGTTAAAGGATTTATTTTCTTGGCTTTTGAGGGGAAAGGAAGGTTGGTGGATTCTTAAATCATTCAAATGAACATAATATTTGGGAAGGAAATACTAAAGCTCTCATAAAATAATGCAACTGTGGAGAAATTCAGAGGGTCATGCAATGGGCACACATTGTCGTGATCAGCAAGAGGCACGGTCTGGCTCAATGATTAATCTCATTCCTAGAAAAATGAGCTTGAAAAAATGATTCAACAGAAACAGCTTCATCTGTAACAGTAAACTGACGAAAGGTCTAAATTGAAGGTCAAGGTTTTGAGTCAAGGGCAGACAGTGAACATTTTTTGGCTTTGTAGGCCATATGGTCTCTGTCTCAACCACTCATGGTGGAATCAGCCATAAACAACAACATAAATAAGTCGCTGTGGCTGTGTTATAATCAACCCTGATTTATGAGCATTGAAATTTTGTATAATGGTCACATATCGTAAAATATTACTCTTTTGATTTTTTTCTTCAGTCTTTTAAAAACATAAACCCATTCTTTAGTCAAAGGAAATAAAAAACTGTAGTTAGTCATAATCGACTGATTCCTGGCTTAAATGGCAAGGCACTGGACAAGGTATGATAAGATGTTCTGCAGTCCTCCCACCCCAAGTGACCATCTGGAGGACTACATTCAAAATGTGATGCTGAAGGAGAAAATAAGAAATGTGGACAATCTTTAAAATGTAATCATAAGAAAAGCAGAATACCAGAGTATGGCTACTAGAGCCATGTAAAATGTAGGTACACAGGTGGGAAATTACTGAAAATGTTCAAGTGACAGTGAAGGGACTTGGTGGTCAGACTGTGGGTGATTTCTTTTTAGTATAAAGATTTCATTTGACTTTATTACTACACTGCCTTTTTAAGGAAAAGTACATGTGTTTATCAGGTTAAAAGGAAAGGAAAGAATCTAGAATTTACTTAAATGGGAAGAAGTGATCACACTTCTTTTTCCTCCCTCTGCTTTGTTTCTCTCCATCATCCTTATCATTCCCTGATGTACAGCTTATAGGTTTATTGGTTGTGTAGCTCCACAGAACATAAATCTCAGGAGAGAGAGATTTTGTCTCATTCATTGACCTAGAACAGCCTCTAGCATGCAGTAGACATTCAAAATCCATCCACTTTGAGTGAATGAATTAGTACTTCTATCTTTTAGGCTCAAGGCTAGGTGACAACTGCTGCCTGGTTCCCCATTCATGGGGAGGGGCAGTTGAGGAACTGTACAAAAGAACCTAGACTTCAGGTGCTACCTACAGGTTACTGGCTCTGTCCTCAGAGAACCTCCTGCATCTCATGCTGACCTTGGCACAGCCAGACCATCGTCCACTGGGGGCTTTACATGGGTGTCTCTCTCTAGACAGGAGCTAATTCAGGAGGGGTGGTGTCAACCTTGACTTTGTATCTCAAGCTACAGAGCACTGGTATATGGCAAGCATTCAATAAATGTCTACCGTTTATCAATAAGCATCTATTTCCATGCATAACATCCAGAACGTTCCCTCAAGGAACCCTGCCCAGCAAGTGTCCTTAGGAGAAAACTCTGACGCCATGTTCTCAGAATGAGTACCCAATCCCAGGTGCCCAAGTAAGCCAACATGCCACCATGTGCACCTGAGAAATCACAGCTCAGGGCTGGTTTGAAGAGAGGTAAATGGGTCTCACCTGTTTCTTCTTTCAGATCCTGAAAAAATTTCTGGTTGAAGATGAAGGCCACACCACTGATCTCTTCCACCTTGGCCTCAGCCGTGCTGTTTCTGTTTATGAAGTTGGCGGTGATGGCAATGGCTAGCTTCCCTCGGAATTCTTTCCTCCGGAACCCTGTATGAGGAAAAGGACAGTTGGATCAGTCCTCTGGCTTTGGCGTGAAGACTGAGAACATGACCAAGAAAGCCATTCTCAGTGCTCCACAAGCCAGGGAATTCAGGGTACTGCATCTCCAGAGAACAGGAGCATATTTGTTCCCACAGAGGAAGCCATCAGCAGAGGCCTTGTGATGTCCACAGGCTCTATCCTTTTCTATAATCTATTGGACATAATTCCCTGGTAAGGCTTTGACAAACAAATGGCCAAAGTGATCTGTGTCGACCACAGACATGTTGCTGTGCATATACTCAAGACCCACAGGCACTGGGAACTTATGTGGTTTTTCAAAGGACTTTGCTAGCATTTTTACTGGCTTTTTTTTTTTTTCTCTTGAAAAATAAGGTTATTAGACTGAATTTCTGCAGGAAAGAGATTTTAATAAGTTGTCCCTATAACTCCATTTCTTGTGCATTGTATTATGAAGTCCTAAAACTTACATGTCAATATGCAACCTTATTTGGAAATAGGGTCATTGTAGATTTAATTAGTTTAGAAGAAGGTATACTGGAGCAGGGCAGGTCACATTGCAGTATCACTGATGTCTTTATATACAGGAAAAGCTAGATACAGATGCACAGAGGGAGGATGCCATGTGAAGATGAAGGCAGAGATGGGATGATGCTTTTACAAGCAAAGGAACCCCAAAGATTATAGCAAACAACAGAAGCTTTATCAGGTGCTCAGAGACTGCTTTTGCTAAAAGGGACTGACTCCTTACCTGAGCACACAAATTAACTAAACCCAGGTTAAAATCCTGGCATCCCTGCCTTCATTTTGCAGCTATCTCCTTTTGCTCTGATTCTCTCTCCTGCAGACATCTGGGATTGTGGGAATGACAGGACTGAATGATAACATCTTTATGGCAAGGGACAAACTACCTCCAAGGAACAGCAGAGCCTCCCAGGACAGACCACCCTTCAAATGAGGACAATTACCTATAATGAAGAGGACTTACCCTGGAGCAGGAACAATCATCTCATGGGAACCAGATTGCTCCCAAGTGATGGCAGTGATAACAGCTCTGGAACCCCTCACAAGACCAGAACTGAGATAACAATCAACCAGGCCACATTTTGCAGGGACTGCTTAGTTATATATATCTCTTCCCCCTGCCCCAGCTCATTCTCTGTTTAACCAGAAGGTCCTGGTAGTATCCTGAAGATGGGCTGAAGTGCTTACTTTGCCTCTTCCCTTAGCAAGCCGATACCACATTAATAAAATCTCCCCTCTTTGACCTTTACCATTACTCATCTCTTTAATTTGTATATTGGGGCAAGTGACTGGACCTGACATGTTGGAACCCCCAGAATCAGACCTCTCTTACAAAGTTAGGAGAGAGGCATGGAACAGATTCTTTCCATGGAAGGAACTAATCCTGAGGAGCCCTTGATGTTGGATGCCAGCCTCCAGAACTGCCAGGCAATAAATGTCTATTGATCAAGCCACTTTGTTTATGGTACTTTGTTAGAGCACCCCAGGAAACGATCACACTAATTCCCAGTGACTGGCACTTAGTACACATCCAATAAACGTAAACAAATTATTTTAGAATTCTAGTTCCTCAGAGTGCTTTCTTAAACTCTAATTTTTATTCTTTTAATCAACACACAGTCATTCCACATGTTTATGGCATACAATTTGGCACTTTGATACTTGTACATATTAAGCAATGATCAAATCTGGGTAATTAGCATATCATCAGGTCAAATGTTCATCATTCCTTTATGATGAGACCATTCAAAATCCCTTCTTTTAGCAATTTTGAAATGTACATTACATTACTGCTAACTATAGTCATCCTACTGTGTAACAGAACATCAGAACTTATCCTCAAGGTACTTAGTTTTCAATGGCTTACAAAAAATTTTCTCTTGAGTTGTGGTGACACAGGGGGTCACAGCAGGTTGTCACACTTCAATGGGGACCTTCTCCTAATCCTCACTTTTTAAAAAGCTTCTGATTTTTCTTGCAGTCCTTACAACCCCCCTTGCTGTTTACTGACTTGGCTCCAAACATTCATTGCTATGGTTTGAATGTGTCCCCCAAGTTCATTTGGAAACTTAATCCCTAAATTCGTATGTTAATGATACTTGAGGATGGGGCTTTTAGTTAAGTGGTTAGGTCATAAGTGTCCTGTCCTCAAGAATGGATTGAGTTGCTCATGAATTAATGGATTAACCAGCACTCAGGTGGCTTTGTTGTTCAAGGGAGCTCTCTCTGGTAAGCCTGTTCATCTGGTCATGTGATGCCTTCTGCCATGTTCTGAGGCAGGAAGAAGACCCTCACCAGATACTGATGTCATGTTCTTGGACTTCCCAGTCTCCAGAACCATGAGTGAAACAAACCTTGAGTCTTAATAAATCACCTAGTCTCAGTTGTTCTGTTATAGCAACAGAAAACAGACTAAGACATTAGTCAATCAGGAACAGATTTGCTAGACATAACCTTCTCCTCCAGCTACCTTTGGGAGCTGCCCCTCCCCCATCTGCTCACCACCTACTTCAGCCTCACGCTGATTCTCTCCACATGAGGGAGTCATCCCTGCTTAAAATCCTTTGACTGAAACCTTAGGTTTCTATTCAGTACCCTCCTTTCAGTTGCTGTTCGTTAGACTTTTTTCAAAAGATGAGAAATGGCCATTATACTAAACGGAGCCTAGCATTTCTCAACTGGGGTGATTTTGACCCCCAGGGTGTACTTGGCATATGGAGATATTTCTGATTGTCACAACTTGGGTAAGCGTAGGGATGCTATAGGAATCTATAGGGTAGAGGCCAGGGATGCTGCTAAACATCCCTGAGCAACGAATGACAGTCCCTTAACAAGGAATTATGCAGCTCCAAAGGTCAACAGGGCTGGCACTGGGAAACCCTGCCCTAGTCCACCCATTTGGTGTGAGTTGCTCAGGTGGTTCTATTCTTTCCACCCTTCTTTCCATGTTCATGAAATGCCGAACTATACTCAAGCTGAGTGTGGATCCTGAATTTTCAAATATTCAGACTCACATTTTTACCAAACCACCCATAAATTCTATCAGCACAGCATCCAAGTTGGCAGCTTAGAAACGCCTTGTCCAATAGGATTGTGGGGAGGGGAGTCTGGAAGAGAAGAGGGGAGTGGCAAAGGGCAGGGATTGCGTGGCAGATGTGAAGAGCCTAAGGTAGAGGACCACACATCCTGAATTTTCTGAGATCAGCCCTATACAGTATGCCTGGTCCTTGGAGAACGTGCCCTGCCAGTCAGACGGCGACAGCCTGCTGCCTTTGATGGGGCAAGCTTGAAAAGCTGAACTGTCCCTAGTGTAAGAGATGTCATTGGGGCATTCTTCACAACTCAAGGTATCTCATAATACTGTTTGTATAAATTAGCACAGCCTGCTAATTAATCTGGGGGCTGGGGTCAAGGTTCTGATGCATTGCCTCACAATGGGGTCCATCTCTCAACCTGACTGGATCTCACCGGCAGAAAGCACGCTAGCTATGCTTCCAGCTTTAGAACCTAGATAACCCTGGTTTTGTACCCTCCCAGCTTGGCAGTATTTACCTAAGTTACAGAAAGGGAGGGGGCTCCTCCTTTGGTTAGTACTGTACTTGAACGTGGAAGAACACCATTAAGAACATGAAATGTTTATCTTAGATGAAGTGAATATGAAGGACTCGGCACCCTGGCTTGTACATTAGCAGGTGCTCACCAAATGTGTATTGACTTTTCCTATAGCACTGCAGTGTTATAAAGCACTTTATAAACTAGTCCTTCCCCAGCCCTCACCACAATGTTCTCAGAGTGTTACCCTGCCCTTCTATAAAAGACTCCTACCCTAGCTTTGGTGTCTGCCATCTTGTTTCCAGCAGCCATCCTTCCCCTCCCACTCCTCCTATCTCTAACCTCATAAAGAATCCTTACCTTCCAAGGTGTTCCTGCGGCCATCAGCTCCAATGATGACGTCAAACTCAAAGTCAGACAGAGTGTGGTCTGCAGGGAGGAATTCTGCCCGCCAGCCAATTTCTATCAGGACAGAAAGATGAGATGAGCTGGCCAGCAGAAATGGATGATACACCCCAGACAGAGCCTCTCTAAGAAAGGCCTAGACAGTCCAGATTCACACTCTACTGGTGTTCTCAGGCTTTAGTATTAGTTCAATCCAGGACAAAGTAAACCAGCAATGCCAACTCCAAACCTGGTTTTACTGACTTTCACTGGGAATCTAGTCTCAGTGATTCCCAAACTAGTTTCCATGGCCCCTTCCTCTTCTCATCAGATTCTACCATGCTCTCTTCATCTCCCCCCATATTTCTCAATGGCTTCATATTGCTAAACAGACCAAAAGGGATGTGCAGGATGTCACAAAGCTAGTTGGAATTTCTACTTCTTACTCAAATGTTCCACTCTGCATCACACTGCCTCTATAAACACATTTTAAGGCAAAGCCTTGCCGAGGATCAAATGACTGTCCAGTAGAGGTATTGAAACAGTTATGAGCATACAAGTCTCTGAATGCCAAATAACAAAAGGCTGCCCTGCTACAAAAGTAATGAAAGCCTCCCTAAATTCTCAAATACACTAGGCAGGGGACAGGAGAAACCAGAGGTGTACCCTATTCAGGAAACTCTGAGGTCTCTGACACTAAGTTGGTTCAATACCTAAGGCTCTTCCCAGGCTGTAGAAGACTTGACAGTAAGTAAAATGCAGAGGCTTTCAAACAATCTGTGGCTATGATGCATGAAAAAAATTAGAATTTAAATAAACATAATAAAAGGAGAAAGTGAAACATATTGACTAAGCAGGACAGACCTGTAGGGGTAAAGTTTATGGCTTATTAAAAAAAAAAAACCTTCAATAAGGTTAAAAATGTTATACATCAGAATGTCTTCTTCTTTTTTTTTTTAATTTCAGTTCCAGGAATCAAACTCAGGACTTCATACATACTAAGCAAACCAACCACTGAGTTATAACCCCAGCCCTTTCCCCTTTGATTTATAGTTGCTCGGGAAGCCTTACTTTCTTTACTGGATGGTAAAATATTTTGCAGATATAGCACGATCACCCATATATCTGTGTGGGAGCTCACACACACAGCTTGAAGTAATATGAAGGAATGTTACCAAACTACCAACACTCTCTTTTTCCTGCTATCGACTGGACTTCACTTGTCAAAGTAGAGAATAACCAAATTACAGGCTTCATGGCTTAATAATAAATCACCCAGGAACTCAAGAGCAAACCTAAAGTGATAATAGCAACGATCATAAAAGGGAAACTCTCTTTTGATGGAAGTATGCCAAACAGCTTCCAATAAAAATAACACTTGCAGAAACTTCCTCTGAGCTACGAGTGTTAACTGTCACTTTGCAATAGCTGATGTGAAGACAGAAAAGGAAAATTATACTGTACTTTGATTTTCTTGATCTTCAGGAGGCTCTAGAACCTTCACAAACTCCACATTCACATGGATTTCAACTCCCAACATCAGAGCCACCTTGAAGAGGATGAGCTGTAGTTGACGAATACCTGTTAGAAAGGGAAGGGATGAGAGAGGAACTGTCAATAGCAATGTCTGAGCACCTCCTGTATGCAGAATACTGAACAATCATGGCTCAATGATGGCAGGGCATAGCAGTATACCAACAACAATCACCATTGAGCACTGAGTTTGTGCCAAGCACTCTGAGTCTTCTCATTTAACCCAAACAGTGGCCCTTTGGGACCATTGTTATTCTCATTTTATGGTGAGAATTGAGGCTTAAGCAAGTCAAACGAAAGTCACAGAGTAGCAACACCAGAATGTGGGCCCAATTCTAACTGATTTGAAGACTCTGCTGTAATTGTTTGATGATGCCATAATGAGAGAGGTTAGGTCTGTCCTGCCTCCTTCCTGGGCTGGGCTCTGGACTTGCTAAGATAAAGAGGGAAAGAGGAGTAGTCAAAGAGAAGCTAAAAGATCATTAAGTGAAATCAGTGATCAGATGGCTCACTAGACAGGGCCTAATCCCTATGCTCTCTGCTCTCCAGTGCATAGGGACAGGGTGGGAAGTTTTCCCCACAAAGCTGGGCTCATGGTTCTCCACCTTCTACTTCCAAACTTCCCCAATGAATGGAACCTTATTTCCTTATTTTGTATGCTGTCATTTAGTATAAATGAACATCCCTCCAAACAGTTTTCCACAGAGTGAGAAGTTAACTTTCTGAGAGCCCCTCTGTATTTAGTTGGCTTAGCTAATTTAACATTTATGGAGTACCTACGATGTGCCAGGGCTCATTGTAGGAGAACACACCTGTCATGGAGGGAACATAGGTAAACAGAGGGGGCAGAGCATGGCAGTTGAGGGGGGGGGTGGTAGTGACAGAATAGGCCTGTGCTGGGGTCCTGGAAGCCAAGAGAGGAGGATTAGGACAGAGAGATTAAGGACTACAAAGGCTACAAACCTCCTCTTTCTAGAATAAATACTTTGAAGTAAGGAATGGTAGTGGGGTGCCCACAGAGGCTGGAGGGCCAGTATGAGGTGAAGAGCAGATGCTTCCACTTGCCTGGGAAGGAAGCCAGAAGGGAATGGAGTTGGAAGGGGATGGCCAGCTCTGCCTTGAACTGTGATGCTGGGAAGGTATGGGTCTCTGGGTGGAGGAGGAAGGAAAGGGGGCTGGGACAGAGAGCAACACCAGTGGCCTCTTTTCCCTGGAGCACAGGAAGGATGCCATCTGTTAAGAACCAGAAAGCTGTGGTGGAGGTTTAGAAGCACCATGATGGGAAGTGGAGGACACTAACACAGGATACACTGGAACTCTGAGCAAGGCCAAGCCTGAGGGAGCAACTAGGGCTGGAGTCCACAGATGGTCTGAATGGAAGCCAATCAACTGGGTTTTCAGAGCCCAGGCCACCTCCTGCTGTGAAGCAGTCCTTCCAAGGGAGGCCTGCTCATTGTGTCAATGTTTCTAGTCTATCACGTTCTAGCACACAGTAGGTGCTCAATAAATTCTCCCTGGGGGAACTGCAGCTACCCTTAACAATGATCATTCTGAATCCTACAATCCGCTCAGGAGGCCTGACAAGAAAGTGATGCTCAATGTCACTTCTTTTCATTGGTAACTGACAAATTCTTTTTTCTGTGGGCAAGGCAGAACATCCTGAATGCTGACTTTGCAGCTTTCTGGGCAAATCCAAATTTCTTTTTGTTGGACTATGGAATGTTCTCATTCCAAAGCAGTAATAAACTCTGGGGCCACTGCTGGTAAATTATCTTGTGCCTGAATAAATTACACCCTCTGTGGCTGATAATTCTCTCCAGGCGTGGCTCTCTTTTCCCACCAATTCTTGTCTTCATATGGACATGACTTTCGGGCTCGCCTCTCGCCCATCCCCATGGAAAGGCACTGGTTGAGAGAATGCAGCTCTGGATTCTCAGGTTTGGGGACCGTGGCTGCTTGTTGCTCACTGTGCACCATAGGATGCAAAGCATTTTCCTGAGTACCTACTATGTGCTGGGGAGAGTAGTAAGCATACAAACTTGACCCCATGTAATCTTCTCAGCAATTCTCAGAGGCAGGCACATTTTACAGGAGATAAAACTGAGGCCTAAAGAAGGTAAGGAGTTTGACTCAAGGCAAAGAGAAATGGATGAGACAGACTTTGGACCCAAGTTGGTTCAAACACTTGAACTCCCCCTACAGTGTTAACCTCCCTGACTTTCATGGGCTAAATTGCCGTACATAAAATAGCTGAAGACCTCCTCCTTACAAAGCTGTGAGGAGGGATGATGCCTTTCCCAAAGTCTTGGCACTCAACTTGCCCTACGAGAGCATTGTGGGGGCGGCCTTGGGCCTGAAATCCGTGTTTTCTACCTCCTTTCCTACGCTTGCTAAGATGCCTTCTCTCAAGGATACTTTGGTATGAGATCTGTCAGAGAATACAAATCTGATCACATCATTCCTCTATTCTAAAACCTGCCATGGGTCCTTCACATCAGCAGCACAATGTCCAAACTCCTTTGCACAAAGGTCATAATTATCTGACCCATTTAATGGTATTATGCACTCTCTTTCTCTGAATTCATCTAGTAAGTGATGAATTCTATGAAAGCACATTTTATTATTGACAAAATCTTGGTGAGCTCCCTAAGACTGTGCTATTTACCCAAGCTGTCCATATTTAATTCATTCATTCGAAAATGTTTATCAAGCAACTATTACTATGTGTCAAGCACTGTTTTATGTCTTTGAGATAGAAATTTTGGTGAACAAGATGTGCTACAGTCCCTGACTACCTGGTGTTTAAACCTAGCGTGGCACAGCACAGGACCTGGGACAAGGCAAAAAAGCACGCCTTGACTAAAGTCTCTGGGGCCCCAGAGATTGCCAGACGGGACTATCTGGGACTCCTGGATGTGGCAAGATGTGCCCCACCCACAGCCAGATGTTGACTTGCACGGGGTACCAGCACTGGCTTTACTCACTTATGTGATCAATGGAGCCAGCACAGAACTTCCCGTAGAACTTCTTCGCTCCCAAGCCTCGCAGGTCATGGATGGTGAAAGGCCAGAGGTGCAGCACGTTATTCCGGGAGAAGGTGTCCCTCTTTTCCACCACGACCACTTTGGCTCCCAGGTAGGCAAGTTCAATGGCAGTGCGTAAACCACATGGTCCTCCCCCAATGATGAGACACTGCGGAGGTAGAGAAGAGAGATGCTTTGTAGCCTCCAGAGTCCAGGCAGCACTGTCACGGAGGGGAAAACTCACTAGCAAGGGCACACTGCACCTTGCCTGGGCCCACCATTCATCCATTCAGCGCACATCCCTGTGAGCCAACCATGGACCAGCCACGGTGCAAGCTTAGGGAGGGACACACAGGTAAAGAGATTTGGGGAGAAGGCACAGTAAGATGAGGGTCAGAGGGTGACCCTGTAAATCTCAGCACTGGGCTGGTGGAATGGCTCAAATGGTAGGGTACCTGCCTAACAAACCCAAGGGCCTGAGTTCAAACCCAGCACCCCCACCCCCACCCCCACCCCCCAAAAAGATATATTCTAGCACTGGCATTTGACCTCTTAGTTTCCTTATCTGTGAAGTGGTTTATGAAGTTGTTTTCTTCATAGTGTTATTATAAATAAGATCACTCTTAAAAAGCATATGGTACAGCTTCGTAATCTCAGATCAGACAACAGTCTCTTAACACCAAAAGTAGAAGTAATGAAAAAATTGATAAATTAAACATCATCAAAATGAAAACTTTGGTACTTCCAAAGATACTGTCAAGAAAGTGGAAAGATTAATACCCAGGATGGCAGAAAATCATATCTGACAAGGCCCCAACATATATAAACAGTATCTGCAACTTAATAAAAACACAAATGACCTGACTAAAGACTAGACAAAGAATTTGCATAGATTCTTCCTCAAAGAAGAAATACAAATGACCAGTGACTACATAAAAATATGCCTAACACCATTAGCTATCAGAGAAATGCAAATGAAAGCCACAATGAGGTATCACCACCCACTCACCCAGATGGCTATATAATAGAAAGACAGAGAATAACAAGTGTTGGTGACGGGAAATTCAAACTTTACATGTTAGTGGGAATGTAAAATGGTGCGGATATTTCTGAACAGTTTGGCCATCCCTCAAATAGTTAAACTTGGAGTTACCAAATGACCCAGCAATTCTAGTCCCATATAAATATACCCAAGAGAATTGAAAGTATATTTTCACATAAAACCTGTACATGAATGTTCACAGCAGCTTTAGTCACAATAGCTCAAACTGGAATCAATCCAAGTGTCCGTTAATTGATGGATAAATGAAATATGATCTAGCCATATAGTGGCACATTATTCAGCCATATAAAGGAGTGAAGTTGTAATGTTTGTCTGACTCTTAAAAACATTGCGCTAAGTGAAAGAAACCTAAACTCAAATGGCTGTATATTGCAAGTGTCTGTTACATGAAATGTTCAGGGTAGGCAAATCTATAGAGACAGAATGTAGACTGGCAGATGCAAAGGAATACGGGAGGGAGGATTGGGGAGACTGCCACTGGACTTAGGGTTTCTTTTTGGAATGTTCTGGAACTAGACAGTGATGATTGCACAACTTTGTGAATACATTAACACCATCGAATTATATACTTTAATTGTATGACTAATACTGTATGCAAAATACTTCTCAATAAAATTACATGAGAAAAGAAGCATACAGTACATACATACTAATGCAAATGGTGATATTCTTTTTGCTGAAGCCTAGTGCCTGTCTTCTAGGAACTCTCAGGCTAGGGATAAATTCAGACTTTTGAACAAATAACTAGAACCTCCTGTGATTAGTTCTACTTGGAACCCAGAAAGGGAAAAGCTCATCCTGCCTAGTAAATTGTAAACACTTCCCAGAGGAGGACCTTTAAGAGTTATTATTACTGCCCTTGTAGCCTACATTTGTTGATATTCACTAAGTGTCAAAAACTATTTCAAGTATTTTACATGTTTTAGCTGTTAACCTTCTGAAAAAAAAATCTCAGAACTATTATTGCTCATAGGAAGGAATTATTATTATGGTCATTTCTAGATGGGAAACTGATGCACAATGCAGTTAAAAAATTGGCCCATGGTTTCACAGATTGAAAGTGACAGAGCCAAAAGGGCTGGAAATGTGGCTCAGGTAGAAGAACATCTGCCTACCAATTACAAGGTGCTGAGTTCAAATCCTAGTACCACAAAAAAAAAAAGAGGACTCAGATGCTCTCATTCCAGAGCCCACCATGCTATACTGCTTCTGATTTGCCAGCGATGAAAAGAAAAAACATTTCAGTTAAAGGCATAACCCATTTGAAGAGAGAAAAAGAAGATTGGGGTATAAGGGGAAAGTTTTGGAAAAAAGAGAGAGAGTAGAGCAAGTCTAGAGTCAGATGCTGAAGGTCTTAGGTGTCAGTGAAGAGTGTAGCCTTGGTGGTGTTGGCCATGGGGCCATGAGGGCAGAGGTGACGAACAGGATTCTGTACAAATCCTAGTCAGTCCTCAATAGACACTGCCCAGGGAAGACACAGCCTGTCAGGACAGAAGGGGGGGCACACAGTGACCTAGACGAAGCACTGAGCAGAAGTCCTTTCATGCAAACAGCATTTTTTGAGGAGCCCTGATGCCTTCCAAAACTGGAGGAGTTTGGCAACATTCCAGACAGAATTGCTCTGTCCTGCAGAGCAATGGGTGGGACTTGCACCCACCTCTCATTCTTTGACATTACAAAAGCATCTGGAAACTTCCCTCTGCTCAGGATCAGACTTTATCTTAAAAAAACACATTCCCCTTCCTGAGCAAATACTCCATCCTCCAGCTATCACCACTGGGTCGCCACAGTCCCAAAGGGAAAGTGTAATCAAGGGTCTCAGAAGCTCCCACACCGCAATCAGTGTAGTTTACTGGCTGGAACCTTCCAGAGACTTTATGGACACCCAATTAGGGGAAATGAAGTCACAGCTGAGATACGACTCACTCCAGAGACATCAGGGAATGAGTGAGTGGGTGGGCAGGGCACTGGCTTCCTCCCTGGACAGAGGCGCCTGGAGAGAACAGCCCCTAAGCCAAGCTCCCCTCCTTATCTCACACCCCAAGCAGTCCTCAGTCCACATAGCCAGACAATGACGGTCGTTTCCAAGCATGCTCCAAGCCCCACACTTGTGAGGTTTGCCATGGGGTGAAGTCTGGATTCACTGCATTTCTTTGCAGTTACTGCATCTTTTCCTATTTGTGAGCTGTCACTCTGGGACCGGAGCTGGAGGGGTTGGAGGGTGTGGGGTGAAGAAGGGCAGAGAAGGGAGAAGGGAGTTCCTGCAGCCCTCTGTCCACCGGGCCAGACCCATCACTGCTCCCTAGACACAGCATCCAGGGGCTGCTGTGTATTTTGCGTGCAAACAGTAGCCAGTGTCCAGCGTCCTATGTCTGTTCCTACTGGCTAAACCCGAAATCCCATCAGTGAAAATTTAGCTTCCCCACCATCCTAGGACCCAGCACAAATTTTGTCTCTGAGATTTCAGAGAGGCCAATCATACCATAATCTAAAGTCAAAGCAAATACCAGTGGGACCTAATTATACCAATGGAGGAAATCCAGGCAAGTGGGCAAACAAGTTAAGCTAACTTAAGCCAAAGAGTACGCCTCTTTCCCCAGACCCATTCAGCCATCACTGCTGAGGACTGCCATCCTAGGAAGGAATGCTACTCATTAAAACTCAGCCAAGGCCTTCCTTGAGCCCCCAAATTAAACTGCGTGCTGCTCTCTGGTGCTCCCAGTGGCTTGGTTCTTACTATTGCCCCAGACCTGTGTGCAATAACCAGCGCTGTGTCTGATCTGCAGCCAGTCTGAGTGCCTCTCAAGGGCTTTCCTGTGTCCTCTGCATTTCTGTGTGTCCGGAGCTCAGTATGAGGCCTGGCATGTGAGAGCCTTGACACACAGCTGATGGGTGAATGAACTTTCCATCCCCTCCTTGCTCCCTCATGTCTGGCTCTCTGTCCATAAGACAGATGCTTGGTGCATGTCAGCCAGGGGTTAATGTCTATAGATTCCCACCCAGACTGAGGGAGTTGGGGTCTGCCAAGGCCACCAGCATCATGGATGTCAGCACATCTGTGCACTCAGGCAACATGAATTATTACTCACTGGGGAGTGGGGCATATCCAACAGCAGCAGGAAATCCAGTGGAGATAAGCTCGGCAGAGTTCAGGCTTCCATGTTTGCAAGGAGGACAAACACCACACATGGAAAAACCAGCTCTTTATTTATCAAGTGGTGGGAGGGAGACATGGCCAACACATCCAGCCAGGGCACAAAGCGACTAAGGTAGCCCCAGCTCGCACAGGACTCTTATTCCACTTTATAGGAACCCTATAAGCATGACCTACTCCTCCATGCCATGGCACATCTTCCAATCTCCCCTTGGCATGGCCCATAAGTGAATGGGGTGTTGGGACTGGGCCTAGAATGTGCGAGGGAGATGCCCAAGGGACTGTTCAGCAGGCTGTTCACAGCTGCTCTGCACCTCCACTGAAAGGTTGATTAGAACATCTCAACAGTACCATGCCCAGCAAAACTTGCTACTTGTCAGACACTGCCCTAACTACTTGGCGTATTTCATCCTTGCAACTAACCTACGGAAGCATCGGCATCATCTGACTTTAAAAGTGGGGGAGCTTAGTATAGAAAAGTCAAGCAGATTACCTCCGTTTTTGAGTTATGAAATGGAGTAAAAGAGTAAGAAATTCTCCACGGTCACATAACAGGGAAGTGGTCAAGTTTGGATTTGAACCTGGGCAGTGTGGGTCTATCTAACATCTGTGCTCTCAGTGGCTTTCCTGACAGGAAAGCCTGAGTTTAGGGAAGGAAGCAGAGCCCACGGTGGCCTCTGAATGGAGCCAGAGTTCAGCCTGAGTTCACAGGGCCTCTGCATGGAAGGATGGAGTTGTGCCTCAGCTGACTTCATGCTTCCCTGGGGTGGAAGTTCACATGCCGGATGGAGCTTGAGCCTGTGCAAGTCTTGGGAAGTCTCATGGCCAGGTACCACAGCAGTGGAGTTTGGGCTTGGATAGCATAATCTTCTGTGGTGAGCTGGTGGTCTGGCAGCGAGCTACTCACCAGGAGATCAGGCCTGGTGCTGTCTCCCTGGTGGTTGAAGTTGTC